CTTTGAGTCTAATAGCCTCTGAATATTATAATTTAAGATTTGTGCTCCTTAATTTGTTTTTTTTTAATCCTCCAGTTCTCTATCCACAGATCACCACACTCAATAATATTAAAATGACATCACACATGGACTCAAAATTTCCCCAGCTTTCTTCATCTGTGTGCATCTTGAGGATACTTCTTCAATATGTTTCCTTCCTTGCCAATTTTATGAATGATTATCTCATTGAGTGGCAACTACCATCATATGCAAGTACCCTCTCTGAGCTGCAACGTACATGGTATCAAACAATATACCTCTAACAAATCGCAACACGTTCATCAGGATTTATCTTTTGCTTATGCTTTCCCCCTTTTTTCTCGCAACATCTGTATGTCTGGGGAGGCAATGGCTGGTGTTATTATTGCTGGACTGTTAATCCAGAGACCGAGATAATGTTTTGGGGATAGTAGGAACTGCCGATGCTGGAGAATCTGAGATGACAAAGTTAGAGCTGGATGAACACAGCAGGCCAGCAGCATCAGAGGAGCAGCAAAGCTGACGTTTCAGGTCTAGACCCTTCTTCAGAAACACAGGTTTGAATCCCGCCACGGCAGATAGTGGAATTTGAATTCAATAAAAAAAATCTGAAATTAAGAATCTAATGATGACCATGAATCCATTGTCATCCTCACCTGGTCTGGCCTACATGTGACATCAGACTCACGGTGATGTGGTTAACTCTTAACTGCCCTCTGGGCACTTAGTAGTGGGCAATAAATGCTGCTTAGCCAGCGACAACCTCGTCCCATGAATGAATTTTAAAAAATGTCATTTGAATGGCCCTTTCACAGAGCAGCCCCTGGACAACAGAACTATGAATTTAATTTGTCAGCCATTTCATTGTTGCCCATTATAAATTCTTTTATTTCTGACTGTAAGGGACCTGCATTGGCATTCATCAAAATAAACTTTTACTGTCGGTTTGATGTTCCCTGCAAGCTTACTCTCATACTCTATCTTCCCTTTCTTAATCAATCGCATAGTCTTCCTTTGCTAACTTGTAAACTGTTTCTAATCATCAGGTCCATTCTTCTTGCGAATTTATATGCCTCTTTTTTTGTATCTAATACTATCTTTAACGTCTCTCATAAGCTGTGGTTTGGCCACTATTCTCTTTTACTCTTGCACAGACTGGAATAAACAACTTTTGTGGTTCACCCATTCGCTCTCTGAATGTTTGCCATTGCCTATCCACTGTCATTCTTTTCAGTAACATTTCCAAATCTATCATAGCCAACTCAAACCTCATACAATTGTTGTTTCCCTTAAAGCTTTTGAAAAGATTTGTAGCTTGGATTGTGGATGAGTTGTAGACTTGCTCGCCGAGCCAGTCTGTTTGGTTGCAGACATTTCGTCACCTGCTCAGTAACATCAATGCGCCTCCAGTGAAATGTTGGTGTTCTGTCCCACTTGTAATTTATATGCCTCGGTTTGCTGGGTTGGTTGGCATCACTTCCGATTCTGTTTTTCAGTGGTTTGTATATCGGGTCCAGTTCAATGTGTTTGTTGATAGAGTTCTAGTTGGAATGCCAGACCTCCAGGAATTCCTTGGCATGTCTCTGTTTGGCTCGTGCTATTATGGATTTGTTGTCCCACTCGAATTCGTGTCCTTCTTTGTCAGTGTGATTGTCGAATTTGTGTCCTTCTTTGTCCGTGTGTATTACAATTCGACTGGGACAACACATCCATAATAGCACAAGTCAAACAGAGACATTCCAACCAGAATTCGATCAACAAACACATTGAACTGGACCCGATATACAAACCACTGAAAAACAGGATCAGAAGTAATGCCAACTACGACTGAGGCATAGAAATAACAAGCCGGACGGAACACCAACGCTTCACCGGAAGTACACTGATGATGTTACCTAGCAGGTACAAAATGTCCGCAACCAAACACACTGGCGCAGTGAGTTGTTTCCCTTATTAAGATTCAGGACCCTGGTCTCACTCAGCAGGTCTGGCAGCATCCGTGAAGAAAAAAAATCAGAATTAACATTTCAGGTCCGGTGACCCTTCCGCAGAACTGATGGTAGCTGGGAAAATGTCGGTATATGTGCAGAAAATAGGGAGGGGGATGGGGTAGGGAGTAAACAATAGGATAAAGGATAGAGTCCAAAGACAGAGAAAAGCAGTTGGATAGACAAAGGAGTCAGTATTTATCCACAGTGAAGAATGGTTTACCATTTGTTGAAAATCCCCACAAAGGCCTATCAGGCTGCCCATTCTGCAAAGCCCTGCCGAGTCTTCACCATCCCCCCAGACCTCCCCCTTACTGATGACGAACGGTCAGTCCTCAGTAAAGGGCTCACCTTTGTCCCCCTCCACCCACACATCAACGAATACCGGTCACGTTTGGACATTGAGCAGTTTTTCCGCTGCCTCCGCCTCCACGCTTACTGCTTCAACCGTGAACCTAACCCTCCCTCTACTGACCCCTTGTCCCGCCTCCAACACACCCCCTCCTCCTGGACACCACCTCAAGGCCTCCTACCCTCCTTCGACCTCTTCATCTCCAACTGCCGTCGAGACATCAACCGCCTCAACCTCTCCACCCCTCTCACCCACTCCAACCTCTCCCCCACAGAATGTGCAGCCCTCCGCTCCAATCCCAACCTCACCATAAAACCTGTGGACGGGGAGGCGCAGTTGTAGTATGGCGCACTGACCTCTACATCGCTGAAGCCAGACGCCAACTCTCCGACACCTCCTCCTACCGCCCCCTTGATCATGACCCCACCCCCGAGCACCAAACCATCATCTCCCAAACCATCCACAACCTGATCACCTCAGGTGACCTCCCACCCACGGCCTCCAACCTCATCGTTCCCCAACCCCGCACTGCCCGTTCCTATCTCCTTCCCAAAATCCACAACCTGACTGCCCTGGTCGACCCATTGTCTCCACCTGCTCCTGCCCCACTGAACTTATCTCCACCTATCTCGACTCCATTTTCTCCCCCTTGGTCCAGAAACTCCCTACCTACATCCGTGACACCACCCACGCCCTCCACCTCCTCCAGAACTTCCAATTCCCTGGTCCCCAACACCTCATCTTTACCATGGACATCCAGTCCCTATACACCTGTATTCCCCATACAGATGGCCTAAAGGCCCTCCGCTTCTTCCTGTCCCGCATGCCCGACCAGTCCCCCTCCACTGACACCCTCATCCGCTTAGCCAAACTCGTCCTCACCCTCAACAACTTCTCTTTCAATTCCTCCCACTTCCTACAGAGGCTCGGAGACCGCTTTGCAGAACACCTACGCTCGGTTCTCAATAAACAACTGCACCTCCCAGTCGCGAACCATTTCAACTCCCCCTCCCGTTCCTCAGACGACATGTCCATCCTGGGCCTCCTTCAGTGCCACAACGATGCCACCCGAAGGTTGCAGGAACAGCAACTCATATTCCGCTTGGGAACCCTGCAGCCCAATGGTATCAATGTAGATTTCACAAGCTTCAAAATCTCCCCTCCCCCTACCGCATCCCAAAACCACCCCAGCTCGTCCCCGCCTCTCTAACCTGTTCTTCCTCTCACCTATCCCATCCTCCCACCTCAAGCTTCAGCCACCATTTCCTACCTACTGACCTCATCCTGCCCCCTTGACCTGTCCGTCCTCCCTGGACTGACCTATCTCCTCCCTACCTACACTCACCTTTACTGGCTCCATCCCCGCTTCTTTGACCTGTCTATTTCCTCTCCACCTATCTTCTCCTCTATCCATCTTCTATCCGCCTCCTCCTCACTCCCTATTTATTTCAGAACCCCCTTCCCCTCCCCCATTTCTGATGAAGGGTCTAGGCCTGAAACGTCAGCCTTCCTGCTCCTATGATGCTGCTTGGCCTGCTGTGTTCATCCAGCTCTACACCTTGTTATCTCAGATTTTCCAGCATCTGCAGTTCCTACTATCTCTGGTATGATGATTCCTTCAGTCTTCTGATTTTTGCCTCTACTTTTGCCCGTAAGGCAAAGGGCACTGGGTGGGCCTTGCAGAATTGTAGAATCACTTCCTGGTCAATATAAAAGGTGACCTAGGCTACTTTGATAGTCCTGAGACCTTCCTGAAAAACATCTAGGTATTTAGTTAGGACTTCACTCAGGCAGCAATTTTCTAATTGACAAATGTTGAACCAGTCTAGATGAATCTTTCTCAACGTATTTCATCCCATCAAGCTTGGGCCTGAGCCTTTTACTACAATCATTGGTAACTGAACCAGCAGCTTCTCATACAAGACCAGAACCGAAGTTGTACCCTTAATCTATAAAGGTTCCCCAGTATAGGTTCTCAGTCTAGCCAAGGTCTGGGCAAAACCTAAGGGTTGCAGTGAAGGCATGAGAAAGGAGACAGAAAAGATTCATGGGAATGGTTCCAGAATTGAGAAATTTCAGTTATGAAAATAGATTGAAGAAGTTAGGACTGTTTTCCTGAAACAAAGAAGGCTGAAAGGGGATCTAATTAAAGTATTCAAAATCATGAAGGCTCTGGACGGAGTTGATCGGGGAAGACATTCCTACTCATGAAATCATAACAGCAAAACAGCGCAGATGTAAATTCGTACAGCACGGGCTTTGGATCTGGAATGCACTCCGACCACTGAACCTGCTCTCCCTCCTTCCTGATTCTCCCATGGGTTACTTTCGACTGGGCGCACACGTATCGGTAGCTCAGTGGCTGAGGGAATGAGTAGGGGGCGGAGACTTCGGATCTCCGACTTGTGAGGGTGGGGGCGTGGGAGCGAAGTTGAGAATATGAACAGCCGGGAAGAAAAGGGGCGGGACCCCAGGGTAAGAGGCGGGCTTTACAGCGTGAGGGGCGGTGATTGCGAGGAGCGTAGGGCCGCTGGCCAGGGTTTGGGGCGGGGATTGTTGCGTAAGGGGCGGTGCTAGTATGGTAGGGAGCGGGGTTTGCGCGCTAAGGGGCGGGGCTAACCGCGCTGGGCGAGACCGGGAGTCAGGGGCGGGGCGTCCAACTGCTCCTACCCCCTTCCCCCGCCCTCACCTGTAAGCTAACTCCTCGTTGTCTTCCTTTTCCGGGAGTCATCCTGTCGTGAGAACCGTACGTGGGATGTAGAGTTCCATCGATCGATCAATTTTAAACATTAACACGAAGCGAGGGAGGAATGATGGACGTGGGCGTCTGGGATTCCGTCAGACAAGTTCGGCTGTAGTTCAAGAGAACTCGGGACTCCGTTTTGGCCCAACTTATCTTTTTGGAGAGAAACTTTCAAGTCCTCACTCTTCGTTTTTGTAAAAAAAACCGGTGTGAAGAGCGGGGGCTGGTAGATCGGGCCGAGGGAAGTTTTGTCGGGGGGGTTGTTGGTGTTTATCTGTTTTTCCCCTCCCCAAGAGTGAGGTGACGGTTAGAGGCGCGTGGATTGACCATGGGCTCGAGACTGCGGCGCGGGACGCTCGCGCTTTTGCTGGTGGCTTTGCTGGCACTGAGTCCCCAGGTGCGTGGGGAGAAGGACTCGGAACTGTATTGCGGAGGTGAGTGAGTGAGGGGACAGTCCAGGGCGTTGCACTGTCATTTATTGCCACAACTCGCATATGTCACAGATAACACTTTAAAAACTCGTTCAAAAACCTCCAGAAGGAGCTGGTTGAGGGTTGGATGAGAGGTGACCTCCGGAGATGTCATAATACGGATTGATTTAGAAATAAGGAAGATAACCAGTTAACCGCTTCCCTCCCTCACCCCACCCCCGGCCCCAGTAACACACCTACTTGGGAGATAGTAGGAACTGCAGATGCTGAAGATGCTGATTTTCTGAAGAAGGATCTAGGCCCGAAACGTCAGCTTTCCTGCTCCTCTGATGCTGCTTGGCCTTCTGTGTTCATCCAGCTCTACACCTTGTTATCTCACAACTTGGGAGTTCGAGTCCAGGATTCTCTCAAGGGTAAACTTGCAGGTTGAGTCAGTAGTCAGGAAGGCAAATGCAATGTTGGCATTTATTTTGAGAGGACTTGAAGAAAGAATAAAGAACAAAGAAAATTACAGCACAGGAACAGGCCCTTTGGCCCTCCAAGCCTGCGCTGATCCAGATCCTCTATCCAAACCTGTCGCCTATTTTCCAAGGATCTGTATCCCTCTGCTCCCTGCCCATTCATGTATCTGTCTAGATACATCTTAAATGACGCTATTGTGCCCGCCTCTACCACCTCCGCTGGCAATGTGTTCCAGGCACCCACCACCCTCTGCGTAAGGAACTTTCCATGCATATGTCCCTTAAACTTTTCCCCTCTCACCTTGAAATTGTGACCCCTAGTAATTGAGTCCCCCACTCTGGGGGAAAAATCTTCTTGCTATTCACCCTGTCTATACCTGTCATGATTTTGTAGACCTCAATCAGGTCCCCCCTCAACCTCTGTCTTTCTAACGTAAATAATCTTAATCTACTCAACCTCTCTTCATAGCTAGCGCCCTCCATACCAGGCAACATCCTGGTGAACCTCCTCTGCACCCTCTCCAAAGCATCCATATCCTTTTGGTAATGTGGCGACCAGAACTGTACGCAGTACTCCAAATGGGGTCCTATACAACTGTAACATGACCTGCCAACTCTTGTACTCAATACCCCGATGAATGAAAGCATGTCGTCTGCCTTCTTGACCACTCTATCGACCTGCGTTGCCACCTTCAGGGTACAATGGACCTGACACCCAGATCTCTCTGTGCATCAATTTTCCCCAGGGCTTTTCCATTTACTGTATAGTTCGCTCTTGAATTGGATCTTCCAAAATGCACCACCTTGCATTTGCCTGGATTGAACTCCATCTGCCACTTTTCCACCCAACTCTCCAATCTATCTATATTCTGCTGCATTCTCCGACAGTCCCCTTCACTATCTGCTACTCCACCAATCTTAGTGTCATCTTCAAACTTGCTAATCAGACCATCTATACCTTCCTCCAGATCATTTATGTATATCACAAACAACAGTGGTCCCAACACGGATTCCTGTGGAACACCACTGGTCACAGTTCTCCATTTTGAGAAACTCCCTTCCACTACAACTCTCTGTCTCCTGTTGCCCAGCCAGTTCTCTATCCATCTAGCTAGTACACCCTGGACCCCATGCGACTTCACTTTCTCCATCAGCCTACCATGGGGATCCTTATCAAATGCCTTACTGAAGTCCATGTATGTGACATCTTCAGCCCTCCCCTCGTCTATTAACTTTGTCACTTCCTCAAAGAATTCTATCAAGTTGGTAAGACATGACCTTCTCTGCACAAAATCATGCTGCCTAACACTAATAAGCCCATTTTCTTCCAAATGTAAATAGATCCTATCCCTCAGTATCTTCTCCAGCAGCTTCCCCACCTCTGACGTCAGGCTCACTGGTCTATAATTTTCTGGATTATCCTTGCCACCCTTCTTAAACAAGGGGACAACATTAGCAATTCTCCAGTCCTCCGGGACCTCGCCCGTGCTCAAGGATGCTGCAAAGATATCTGTTAAGGCCCCAGCTATTTCCTCTCTCGCTTCCCTCAGTAACTTGGGATAGATCCCATCCAGACCTGGGGACTTGTCCACCCTAATGCCTTTTAGAATACCCAACACTTCCCACTTCCTTGTGCCGACTTGACAATATAAAAGCAGCAATGTACTACTGAGGCTTTATAAGGCTCTGGTCAGGCCACATTTGGAGTTTTGTGTGCAGTTTTCGGCCCCAAATCTCAGGAAGGATGTACTTGCCCTGGAGCGCGTTCAGTGGAGGTTCACGAGAATGATCCCAGGAATGGAAAGCTTAACATATGAGGAACGTTTTGAGGACTCTGGGACTATACTCATTGGGGTTTAGAAAGATGAGGGGGTATCTAATTGAAACTTACAGAATACTGAATGGCCTGGACAGAGTGGATGTTGGGAAGATGTAGGAGAGACTAGGATCCGAGGGCATAGCCTTAGAGTAAAGGGAAGACCATTTAGAACGGAGATAAGGAGAAACTTCTTCAGCCAGAGAGTGGTGAATCTATGGAATTCACTGCCACAGAAGGCTGTGGAGGCCAGGTCATTGAGTACATTTAAGACTGAGATAGATAGGTTCTTGATTATCAAGGGTGATGGGGAGAAAGCAGGAGAATGGGGTTGAGGAACTTATCAGCCATGATTGAATGATGGAGCAGACTCAATGGGCTGAATGGCCGAATTTCTGTTCCTATGTCTTATGGTCTTACATGCGCACACACCCACACGCCTTCACTCTTCAACTAAAGAACAGGTCGTAAGGACAGAAGATGAAACTTGCATACCATCTGTAGCTGGCATTGATGTTTTACATCATTACAGGGGATGAGATGGCCTCCTGGTATTATCACTGGACTGTTAATCCAGAGATCCAGATGATGTGGGAACCTGGGTTCGAATTTGAAATCAATAAAAAAGTCTGGAATTAGGAGTCTAATGATGCCCATGAATCGATTGTCAGAAAAACCCCATCTGGTTCACTAATGTCCTTTAGGGAAGGAAACTGCCATACTTACCTGGCCTGGCCTACATATGATTCCAGACCCACAGCTACATGGTTGACTCTTAACTGACAGCAACGCCCTCATCCTGTGAATGAATTAAAACAAAGTGATATGCTGGAAATCTGAAATAAAAACGTTTCCAGCCTTTGTTATATTAACTTTCATTAACACCCTATTTTGACGTGGTATAACATCCCTATGTGCTCAAGTAAGACACATTGTGATAGTGAGTTGTGGAAGGAGTGTTGTAGGTGCTCACTTGATTGGACAGCTAGTTTGCAAAGCAGAATGATGCCAACAGTGCGAGTTCAATTCCCACACTGACTGAGGTTACCAGGAAAGTCCTGCCTTCTCAACTTTCGCTCACCTGGGGCATGATGACCCATGGGTTAAACTCACCACAGTCATTTCTATATAATGGGAGAGCAGTCATATGGCCTTCTGGTACTATGGTGATTTTACCTTTATGTTCCCTTTACTATGTGTGCTGGAAATCAACACTGAAAGTGTTGGACAATCTGAGCAGGTCAGGCAGTACTTGTGGAGAGAAACAGAATGTTCCAGATCAATAAATTTGAGTTAGTTATTGTCACATATAGAAAGATAGAGTGAAAAGTATTTTGTTGCCACAATCTGGTGCCATTTTGAGTTACAAAAGAATAAAACAAAATTACATAAATAGAGTTCATCAGTACAAGAGGTCTTCAACACAGCTCCTGAGCTTCTGCAAGGCGTACCAGGCCTCATGGAGTCCCCACATTTCAGGCCTATGGCAGCCAAGAGTCCCCGCTGTGGGCACTGGCTCTGCCACAGCAACTCACTGCTGCCAAGAGTCCCCACTCCAGGTACCACCACTGCCGTTTTTTGATGACCTGCTGAGTCCATGCTTCAGGCATACTGCAGCCAGGAGTCCTTTCACCAGGCACTGCCACTAATGCAGCCAACAACCTGCTGAGCACTGCTCCAGCTTCCCCATGACATCAGAAGATGAAGAAAAGGGAAAAAGATCAGAAAAGAGAGAAAGAGAAGGATGCATAAAAATTGATCTGGAACATTAAATCTGCTTGTTTTCACAGGTACTACCTGACCTGCTGAGTATTTTCAGGTTACGTTCTATCCACCGATTTCAGGACGAATGACTAAAAGACTTAGGATAGGGATGCCAGACTTGGCAGCTCTTAATAGTGGAGCAAATCAAGTATTAAATATGCAAATGCCCAGAATTGGAGGAGATGCTTGTCCAACTGAAGGATGTTACAAATAGAATCATAGGGTTATACAAAATGGAAACAGACCCTTCGATCCAACTCGTCCATGCCGACCAGATATCCTGAACTGATCTAGACCCATTTGGCCCTCTAAACCCTTCCTATTCATCTACCAATCCAGATGCCTTTTAAATGTTGTAATTGTACTTGCCTCCTCTACTTCATCTGGCAGTTTGTTGCATGCACGCACGCACTACCTTCTGTGTGAAAAAGTTGCCCCTCGGATCTCTCTTTAATCTTTCCCTTGTCACCTTAAACCTATGCCCTTTAGTTTTAGACTCTGCTACCCTGGGAAAAAGCCCTTGACTATTCACCCTGTCCACGCCCCTCAAGATTTTATAAACCTCTGCAAGGTCACCCCTCAGCTTCCGATGCTCCAGGCAAAATAGCCCCAGCCTATTCAGCCTCTCTCTATAGCTCATACCCTCCATTCCGGCAACATTCTTGTAAACCTTTTCTGCACCCTCTCAAGTTTAACAACATCTTCGCAGTAGAAGGGCAATCAGAATTGAGGACACTATTGTAAAAGTGCCTTAAGCAACGTCCTGTACAGCTGCAACATGACATCCCAACTCCTGTACTCAATGCACTGACCCAATGCCAAATCCCTTCTTGACCAGCCTGTCTACCTGTGACTCCACTTTCAAGGGACTATGCACCTGCACCCACCAAGTCCCTTTATTCAGCACCAACCTCAGAGTCCTACCATTAATTGTATAAGTCCTGCACTGATTTTCCTTACCA